TTATATACACATAAACTTTCAAATTAATGTATTGTTTTTAAATACCAAGCAAAATAATGAAATACTAAAGACTTTCAAAAATAAATATCGAAATACCAATTAAAAAAGGTAGTCATGTATTAAAAAGTAGGAAATAACCCATTGAACAAATTAAGTTTTGAATGAATGATTTTTGTTTGTATTACAATGTTACCGCAACCTCCTCGAAAGTCTTGGTTTGATGGTTCGGGTCTCCCTAGGAAATCTCTTGTTTCAGCATTTAGAATCAGATCTGGTCATATTCCACTAAATAAATTTTATCACTTAATGGGTATCAAAGCCTCAATCTTCTGCTATTACTGCAAAAGAAAAGAAGGCCTGATCCATCTGTTGGTGGAGTGTGACCACACTAGGATCGCAATAGTACGATTCGGAGTTGAAGAGTTTGGAGGTAATGGAGACATAAATATTTTTCCACGAAACCTTGTACATAAAATAACCAAAAAGATTTTTACTTATGTAAACTATTATACCAAATCCAATAATGCCCCTAACTAACCACATAATTTGAAATTCTCTATGAGGCCATAAACACAATGTAGTAGTGTTAAAGGCCTTCTTAACTATTAAGAATAAAACAAATATAATGATGACGATTTTTGCCAACAGCAACTGCACTCTTTAAATCACGGATGTAGCTGCTCAAAATTCGAAATCAACTTAATTGCATACTGTCTAATTAATGTATAGAAGTGTCATTTTCTGAAATCCTACTTTTGTTGCAATACCTTGGATTTTAGATATTGTGAAGGCGCACAGTAGCGTGAAGCATGGTAACAATGGTAAATGGAATCATTGCACTTTAAGGAAAACAAGCAAATATAACATTATTGAGGATCTCTTTAATATGGAAACGTCATTTCTAATATTAACTTTATGTCATACTATATAACTGATAACATAGATATGGGTATACAACGTACACTGGCATGTACAAGTTTTCAAGAAAAACATCAAATTATAATTTAAAAAATCCGATGCGGAACAAGGTACTCCAAAAATTTTATTGAAATCCATCTGTAAGCTAACTCGTCGAGACCTATTTAAAATAAGAAGGTACACTAACAGCAAAATTATAGAACAATTCACATTACATACAGTATCAATATAAATATATTCGTCAATCATAAGCATACACAACATTTGCCAAGATATATCTAAATTCTTTAACAATATGTCCAAGTGGGAGGCCTAAAAGAGCCTATGTAACATTTAAATATTGTAAAAGCTTATTTAAAAAAAAAATTGTCGAATCTATGGAAGGAGGATAGTATTTTTTTCAAGTCGGACAAGTGGATGTAAAACTAATATTGTTTTCAGATCACACTAACTGGGAAAGGAGCTGATGATCTTTAAATTGAGGTGAGCAAGCGTCCATCAAACATAGCTAAGAACCATCTCGATTAAATTAGTCCACTCGTTTGTGAGCTACGATATCACAGATAAACATACAGAGAGATACACAGACAAAAGCTTCAAACTTATATATTCCCATATGGGTTGAAACATGAAATTGAAAGATAGGTACTAGAATACTACGTGACGATATTCAGGATCTACAATTACGTCTAAACTTTGAAATTATGGGCAAGATAGTGCCAAAGGTTGAAATTTAGAAAATGGTGCCGTACTTTATTTATACTATAATACATTGGTAGTTATTAACGGAATAAAAAAGCGTTATAATAATAATAAAATAAGTTCTCGAGGTTCCGATTCTTCTTTTCTTCTTATCGTATCCATGGCATACAGAAGGATTGCCAATTGGCGCAAGGTACTAGTCGATGGTTGCCCAGAGTGTGACAGGACAGGAGCCTTCTTTCTTGCACTTCAAAATCGGAGTGCCTCTAATTTTTAATTTTAGATTGGACATTATCATGTCAATGCTGATTTTAGAGGCTAAAGAACGAGGTGGTAACCGAATAAAATATTCATCACAATTTTAACACGTTCAGACCGGGAACTAAATTACCATTATTTCGTCCTGAAATAAATTCTTGTATTCGAATTTGCTGTCCGATGGGAAAGATTCTCACATGGCCACCGGTGATACATCATCGCCCCATCAACCAAAAAATGTATCGGGGCGGAGTACGCCACCGGTGATCCTTGCTTTGAAATTATGCTTTATCCCTTCCTAATTAACCTATGACCTTAAGTAAATTATTTTTTGCCAGTTCTGACTGTTTTAAAACAATTCATCAGAAATAATTTGCTGTTTATTCTCGTTTTTCTATTATGTACATTTCTAGTTCTTTTTCGAATAAATATTCTTTGTAACCTTGATTTTTTTACTGTCTTACACAAATATCAAACTCCTGAGCTGCACTATGAAAATGTGCTTGTTGCACAGGACGGGAACGTGAAAGTTAGCACTTTCACTCAAGGTGGCATGGGTTACTTAGTATACCAAAAGTCAAGTGTTGTGTGACCACCGGTGGTACACTACGCCTAATGGATCAGCTGTCCGTGCTCCACCAGTGGCACATGCCGGTTTGAACTTGTTACGGATTGAAACGAAAATTTTTAGCATAATTTAGATGAAATACCCAGATGGGTAGATTTTAATTTCAGGTATTTGTCTTTCGTCTGATTTGATTATATAACGTGGATGTAGTTCAAAAGTTATCTGTAGATTATATATTTATTTAAATCGGGTGTGCAATGTTGTACACAATATTCACGTATGTCTAAACAGAAATCCCAACTATTATCATTTATCGTTATCATTGCACACACACACTCTAGAGTTATCGCATTGAGATGCCATGTGAAGTAGTATACAAAATGTATTTTAGTTCTGATTGCACTATCACAGTGATGATAATTTTAACACCACAATATATCTAAATAGAACACTGTTACACCAGCGGTTCGCTGAGTTATACTACTGTAAAAACATCAAAACGACTAATAATTTTAAAGTATACAGAATAATTAGTAAAACATTGACTGTGAACTGAATGAAGGTAGGCCTCACTCGTAAAGTTCATCACTTATTATTAGGTAATTTTGTAATTTAAGCTTCTTTGTAGCTAAAGTTTCACAAAATTCCCAAAGGTCTCCAGTATGAAATTCTGTAACAAAATAAAAATATATAAATTTTTGTTTATATCAGCGTCTTTCCTTTTCTAGCTTGTTTTGTAGCAAACCTAATATAATCAGTGGTTGTTTACTCATAAATTTCAAACTTAATAAAAATTTAAGACCTATACGGATTAGAACAACATACAGGAATACATACTTTTGCAATTAACGCAGCGTGGGGTATTATTAACATTGAAAGAACATTTTTAATTTTCAAATAAATTTCATAATGAACAAATGAATGTATGATATAGACAAATGAATAAAGAGTTATTCACCAATACCCTTTAATAAGGTTGTGTACACGTTTATCATTATATTAATTAGCCATATTCCAAAATAAATATTTACAATAATCTTGTTTTTATTGAATAAACTCAACAATAGGTTATAATTTTATTTACGTATTCATTCTGGTTATCGGGACTTTTTTGCACTTTAATCAGCTAACGTTATCAGATGTCAGTTACTGCGACAAACAAAGTCGCGTGGTAAACTAAAGTTCCAGCTGTACCCACGGGAGATCGTAAATTAATTAACACGGTTACCTTTTAATTGAATGGCTTCTTTCTCTTTATGCACATTTGCATAGAAAGAAAAAACTACACTTTTATTAGAACAAATGTAGTCTTACGAGGTATTAATTTTCACATATTACTTTATGTACATATCCTTCGCTTATTTCGTGGCCTTTATTTTTAAACGTAATTGTATTTATAATTTCCAATGGGAAAAGAGTCAGTTTTATATAAATGTGACGTCGTTCTGTTTATGTTTCGTAATTATTTGCTATGAATTTTATGAATAGCTAATGGTTCGTGTTGTACTACAGGGGTAAGAGTGAGGAGGAGGAATTTAACGACGCTTAATTCCTTCTATTTAAATTTCAAATTTTATGGGGTGTCATGAAATTTAATGCAATTCTACCAATTCGTTGGTAGGGGTTTGTAATTTATGTCTTTCAAATATGTCACCAAGCCCGTATTAAGTCAATGAATATCAGACGAATGGTTTCTGCCTGTGAAGCATTTTTATCTTTCAAGCGACGGGACTTAGAAGTCATGCGCCTGGTCGCGCGGCGCGCGCCTCTTCGTAGCAGTTGCAGTGCCACTCAGAGCTTTAAATCGCAAAGATCTGAGGGGCACTGCCACTGCGTCCTTCACCTTGAGACATTAGTTGAGTAATTTCACCAGCACCCTTACTCTACAAAACCGAAACGCACTTATGTGCACATTACTCTGTGGCAGCCGAAATAGGTAAGGTGACAGTACTCCCTGGACGAATTCTTTCACAAGGAACTCCACTGCTACTAAAAATACTAGTAGTATGTAGTATGATAGTAGGCGTATTGCATTTTGAACCAATGTATTTATGTTTGTTCATCTTTCACAGTAGCTCTTTCCTTAATTATATTTTGTGATTCCTAATTTTCTCGATGAGGAAACAAATACAATTATTAACCTACCTACTATCGTGCTACTTATTAAAATCGTACAATGGGAGTACTAAACCATGTGCACTCAAAAAAAGTACGTTACGGCAATTCTCAAGAACGGTTTCACCTAATGTCGCTTGAATTATAATACTTGTACCACTGCCACTCCCACGTGCTCGTTCACTTTTACGCCTCATGACAGAGTTTACATCAAATATTTATAACAGTGGCAGAGTCCATATTCTACTTTACTAATTTTACGGTCCATTTAAACTTCTGCAGGTAGTTAGGTGTCAAGTGATAAGTTCATTGGCTTATTTTTCATAAGCAAGTGGTAAAATGGTGTTATCTCGACAATGCGAGTTACGTTATGGCGTTCTAAAGTAAGTGCGGCTGAGGCGCGGCTTCGGCTCTGGCGCTCCGCTGCCGCCTCAGTTCCCCACGCGAGCGCGAGTGAGTTAGTCGGCCTCTACCTTAACGTAGCGCACATTATACCCGAGTGACTGGGGCATTTGCCTACTTTAACCGTCACGTGCCACGCTATAAAACAACTTGTATTCAACTCTTTTGTGACCTTCGGCTTGTCCTTCATTATACTTATCATTTCTCAAACTAATCGTAAACTTATTCTGTAGTTTCATGATGTGACAACGTAATAGAATGTTGTTGACTATTTTACGCAGCACATAATTCAACAAAAAATGAATCAGTGTTCAAAGTTTTCAAGTGTTTTAACAATATTACGATTTTGGTGATCGCGAGAATACAAGTACCCTGTGGAATTCGTGTTACTACTGAGCGCCATCGAACGAAAGTTATAAATAGTTCACTCGATTAAAATTCCGTGTGATGGAATAAAGGCTATGAGTATAATTCATGGCAGATATCACCCATGTTTATGTTGGACTTTAAATTGATCGAAGCAAAATGATTATGGGCTGGAGTTTACTGGCATCTCTAATGACCAGCGTCTTATTAGTAGCTTCCAACGAAACCGCAGGTTTGAAAATTCTTCTCTTGGATATGGATGCCGACTTTTTACTTGTTTAATACACGCCAATCTCTTCAATAATGACTTTCCTTAAAGATAATTCTAACATAAGAAACAAAGTACTATTGCACCTTGTTCTCAATTGTTAGTGTACAGGACAAAGTCTTTGTTAATAATGCTGAGACAAAAAGTTACTCAATTTTCGTGAGACAAAGGTTCGTACAAAATTATGTTCAACAAAAACAAGTCTCCAGTATCACTCTGTACATAATACAAACTTTGCAAAAAACGGTGGCATAATTGGACTCGCATTGAGAATAATTAGTTATTTAGCAGTTGAAAGAATATTACACGAGAAAATAAGACTTTTTGTGTAATGCTGTCGTTTCTTACGATTCGTGTGATAAGTTCAATCGTCGATGCCATTAATTGCACAAACATGCCAAGGTGAACTCTAAAACCTGTGCTTGTTTAATGTTGTCGTAAAATTACTTCTGTATTTGAATAATACTCCTGGCATGCATTATGTTTGCATTTGAAATTAGGTAGTATTTTAAACTAAGACTTTGTTCTACACTAACAATAAGCAATTTCTTTCGATTAATATTGAAAATAACTTTGCAGCGATGAATTCTTTCATGCCTTTAGAATTTTTGTACACTAATTTTGTAACTAAAGCTTGACTTACAATGTGAATATAATAGTTTAATGATTGGGATGCCAGTTGGAGCTTGCTAATGGGGTTTTTCATGGAGAGCCATTGTAAGTATGCTGAGCAACAGTAATTGTGCTAACACATCTTGCACTGTTATCAAGGTAACGCTGATGCAACTGATCTGTAACTAATTTGAGTATTGAAATCATTCACCCGGAAAGTGCTACCTGATTTTTAAAACAGAATGCTTCGGTTGAAATTATTTGGTGGTTAATAATCCTAGAACTAAATTAGCTCAGAGATTCAAATAAAAGAATAAAAGCATTGTGCAGAAATAAAAAACGAAAAAGCATGTAATGCCCTTTAACCCGTCACGTGGTCTATTGACACACGGTGACCCTAACAATTGCTATATAAAATTAATTGCAATTACTATGTACAATATAATTGTAATTATTTTTTATGTTAATTATAAAAGTAATTTTTTTATTCATTTTTGTATTTTTTTTAATAGTGGATAAAACACTACTGCGCGATAGAGACATCGTGTAGCTTTAGGACGCTACAGCACCAAAATCGGTAGAGACACCGTGTGTCTCTAGGATGCGTGACGGGTTAATAGCTACGTAAGGCTGAGAAACCGTGTGTCTCTAGGATGCATGACGGGTTAATAGCTACGTAAGGCTGAAATTGAATTTAAAAATAATATACACATGTTCTTCCCGTAGCTGCTAGCTGCAATGAAATTTAACATTTTACACTGCAACTATCGCTTAAAATCTACGATTTGATTTATTATCACCCGTTAAAAGATTATGACAAGGAAGATATTAATATATTTCCTAGATATCTAGTTTACCTACACATATTTGCATTCCATAGAAAAGAACTGTAGTTAATATATTAAGGAAAATAATAGCAAAACGAGTAAACAAGTTGCTTTTTAGAATAAGTCATTTTGGGAACAATATTACTCATTAAGAAACATAACAGGTCAGAGGTTTTAGTACACAAATAGGCATTGTGCCGTGCTGGGTGTAATGACTATTTGCTCGAGAGAATATAATCATTGATAATAGGGCTTCGTTTGACGTCACATGAATCCATCTCAGGTTGTTTTCAACCACGTTCCCAAAATTACGAAATTTCAAATCTATTTTATAAAAAACTGTGCAACAAACTTTATTAGAAAATTACATTAAGGTCATACGGCTCGTCTTTTATTGAATATAACTTTCATTTACAAAAAAAAATACCAAGCCCTCGAGTATAGTGTCATTAATAAGAGTAAGTTAGATGCAAGTATCAGGTACTAACAACACAAATAAGATTTTGTGCTTTATTGATTATGTGTGATTTGTTTTGTGTGATTTTGTGCATATATTTTGAGTGTTGTAATTTGATACAAAGCCGATATATGATACATTGTCTAACTTATGGTACAACAACTGCAGACCTATTTTAATGTCTGAGTCATTTGTCACTAGTTGGGGAGACAAACAAAAAACAATAACTTGACTCATCTCACAAGCTCACTAAAACCACTGAAGTAAGCGCATCGAATTTCTTCTGTCTGTAGTAGAAAATACCTCGCTACACTAATAGAAACAACACTATGGTTGTTTTTTCCTTGTTTACGATATACGGTATTTGCACCTTACTAAGAATGAATACTGACACGTTTACACTGAAGAATAATAAAATGAAGTTACTATATGTATAGCTTGATATTTAATGAGTACAAAGTCATTTCCTTCCTAAATCCGGATCGTACTACGCAAAACACGAAAAAATGCACCCTAAAAGTTAGTAAAACGGGGAAAAAGACTTGAGTATATACTCACGGCAAATAACAATTGGTAGACTTTGGTTTACAAACTACAATTAATTCATTCATTCGTTCAATAATTGTATTTATGTAGATATAATTAAAATAGTAAGAATTTTTATTGATTTTAAGGTAGATATAATACGAAGCTACATTGTCTCAGTAGGTACGCAGCTTCCATTAGTCGATCTTTTGCAGACGATGAGTCATCGCCAGGTTACGAGTAACTATAGATTGTTAATAAGAACCGTGTCGTGATTCACTCAAGCATAAGTCACAGATTCATTCATAAGTTTCATCTCTTTCATTTTTTTTGTAGTATTTTATTACGTATTGGTGATTCTCAAATGCTATTATATAGTTCGTAGGTACTTTTATAACCGACCTTAAAAAAGGAGGAGGTTCTCAATTCTCAATGCGACTGTATGTTTTTTTTGTATGTATGTTACGCGATAGCTCCGGCGGCACTTGTGAACCGATTTTGATGATTATAATATAATAATTTCAATAATAATTTATGTATTTATTTTCTCTCAACATACAAGGTAAATTGTATAAACGCTTTATGACAAGTGAGTTTCTACATTAAATCTTATTTGCGAGAGACTGGCGCCTGAGATAGGCATAAAAATGCCTGTATTACAGGTCACCTGATTCTTTTTTTGTTGCAACGAGGTTATTTCAGATGTAGTTCCATTTAAATTTGAAGAATGATGCCGCAGGGAACGTACCACCTACCTTATCTCAGGCTGGCTGCACTATGGCGCCAGTTCGCATACGTCTAAAAGAGGTAGGAGGTTAGAACTCTGCGAAATCTTGACGTGAATAAAGCTAGCGGGCCAGATGGAATTCCAGCGGTAGTCCTACGTAACTGTGCGCCTGAGTTGTCTCCTGTTCTCACACGTCTGTATCGCCTCTCACTTGAGACTGGTATAGTTCCCAGGTCGTGGAAACTTGCAAACGTGCAACCTGTGCCCAAAAAGGGAAGCAGAGCCTGACCCTGTCAACTATAGACCTATTTCAGTCACTTCCATACTCTGCAAGACTATGGAACGTGTACTCAACAACCGTCTCCTGCACTACCTTGCAGACAATGACCTCATCAGTGATCGCCAGTATGGATACCGACGAGGGCGTCCTACCGGAGACCTTCTTGTGTATGCCTGTCACATATAGAGGAAGGCCATGGCAAAGCGAGGCGAAGCATTTGCAGTGTCTTTGGACATTTGTAAAGCCTTTGACAGGGTCTGGCACGCAAGCCTTTTAAGCAAGCTTCCATTTTATGGGCTTCCCACTGACCTTTGTGAATGTTCCATTTGAGTCGTCTTAGAAGGCTACTCTTCCGAACATATGGCGATAGAGTTCCTCAGGGTTCCGTACTGTCTGCAACTCTCTTTCTGCTGCATATCAATGATATGTTAATTCCAGGTACCTTTGCGTATGCTGATGACAGCAGAGTTGTAGATAGGTACTTGACCAATGAAAGGGTCAGTGGAGAGGAAATCCAGTCTTGTCGAGAGTCCATGGTTAGCCGTTTAGATTTGACGCTCAAGGCAGTATTTGATTGGGGCGATGCCAATCTTGTCAAATTTAACGCTACCAAAACGCAAGGGTGTCTGTTCTCCACAAAACGTAGTCCCTTTGAGCTGACTTTGACTTTTGACGTTATATATCCTTGCCGATAGCCGACCGTCTCCAGCTACTTGGAATGGACCTGTCATGCAATCTGAACTTCGGCAGATACATTGAATCCATGGCCAAAAATGCAGGAAGCTTGGCATCCTTTCCAGGGTGAGGCGTTACTTCACACCGGGAGTGTTGCTTCAGCTATATCAAGCACAAGTCAGGTCGTGTATGGAGTACTGTTGCCACCTTTGGGATGGCTCTGCTACATACCAACTGGCCACCTTGGATTCAATTGACAAGCGTATCAAGAGGCTTATAGGAGACTCGGAATTAGTGGAGGCGAAGCTGCAGAGCCTTGAGTACCGCCGTAAAGTTGCCCGCTTATCGGTATTTTACAGGATATATCACGGAGAGTGTGCGAAAGAATTACACGATTTAATTCCGCTTTCCCCTTTCCATCATCGGGGGACTAGGCGTAGGCTTGGCTTCCACCCCTATGTTGTGGATATTCCAAAGATTCGCACGAAGCGTTACGCTTCCGCATTTATATAGCGAACGGCTATGGAGTGGAATTCCCTGCCTGCAGACTTGTTCCCTGAACGTTATAACTATTCAAATTATTTTTCAAATTATTTATTTCTCAGATAACAGGATCCATTAGTGTTAGTAAAAATAAAGAAACAAGCTTATAGACTATTGTTAGTATGAAATTATAATTATAAATTACTTAGAAACTAAAATGTCATGTACTTACGGGGCATCTCGTGCGGAATCATTGTCCGTACGAGATGTCTCAGTACAGGCGCTCTATGGTCGTTTGCAACAACTCTCAGAATGCTGTTGCCACTACCCCGGAGCCTACTAACCAAAGATGCTACCTTTCTCCGCAAGACCGCATTA